AAATATACGCTGTAATGGATAAGATAATTCTGAACTTTGCGTAGAATAATATATAAATTTATCAGATGGTCTATTCGGTTTAACTGGCTTACTATCAATAAACATTTTGACAGACCAAATTCAAGGTCAATATCATTAAAAAAAATTGCTCGGATATCATAAAAAACGTGTTGCGAAATAGATGAATAATTCATCAAAGAAATTATTGCAATTTTTTTTTTTTTGAAATATTTAAGGTCTGTTTACAGAGTTATCATCAACGAGTTAGTTATAATAATTATAATAACTTCTTTATTATTAGGTAACACTAATAAGTGATGATCAAATTCACATAATCTGTTTTCTCAGCTCCACTTTTTTTGGTTCCAAATACTAAAAGTTTTTGGGATTAGAACAACATTTTGATTCACTATTTCCAATTAACTTTTTATCCTACACTTTTATTTTGCACAAATCAAAGAAAATTTACGTTAATCCCGTGGGCTACGTGCTGCCTTATATTTTGCATTAGTTTTTCTCTTTGAAAATATGACATCAATCAAGTGCTTCAAAAACCAAGATGGCAAACCAGACCTAGAAAAGTCAACACATAGAACCCACGTCAAAATTGAAAAGTGCAACTTATCATACTACATAGTAGACGAATCAATGGCATAATGTCGCCGAGGTAAAAAAAATATCGCAAATAGAAAAATATCAACAATAGAATATGGAATCTATAAAATGTGAACATCCCACCGCTATGTCATGCAGATAAGCAGTTATAAATTATTACACATCATAGTTATCGTTTTAGTATTGTCGTTAAGTTGTTTGCAGATACCCATATACTGATTAGTGAACAATATATTGTGTTGTATGCATATAACATTAGTGTGTATTCTGCTGTGATAATATTAGTTATATTTTAGTGACTCTTATGCGTTGGTACTTGTAATTTATTTCGAATATAATATATAACGATTTAGTACATAATAAACACAAAATATTATACGCTGTTCAAACGTTATACCAGTTGTTTACACTCTTCTTCCTAGTAAAAAGGAAAATACTTGTGTGCGAATGTTAACTTTTATGAAATACCTACTTAAGATCACGCCTTAATCCCAAGTCAAAAATGTTCAACTACAAGACTGACACGACGAATACGGATAAAATGTGTGTTTTTTGGTCAGTATAGAAACTAAAGATTGATTTTATTTCGTATATATAAAATCAATAAGAAAACATAATATGTTAGTACATATTATGTTTTAGCATTGAACATTGATGACATACTGTTCAGTTTAAATTTACTGTCATTGATAAATTTATGACGTCATAATTTAATATGATATATTTTCTTAATTACAATTTATTTAACTTCCGGTACACAAATTTCGATATTACTTGAACATAAACTAGTGGTGATGTTTATTTGGTTTAGAAACGATTTCTACAACACCATGATGGTATGCCATAAAATATGTATGTAGATAGCTAAATTTATATTAAACTGAGAAATTTCATCCAACTGATTTATTGACAGGGAAAAAATTTGAGTGCACTTATTATTAGGTTTCCGAAATCAAAATCAAATTGTGAAAACTGAAATTATAAAAGCTCAATGATTGAATTGTAACCAATAGATGATGTATATCGTGATACCGATCTTCAAAAATCACAGGATTATAAACATCAGTAATATTAAATTGATTCTATTACTTACAAATATTAGACATAGGTATAACAACGAAAACATGAGTTGAAAATAATATTAATCTAGAACAAAAATTATAAATACAATCATAACGAGGATAATATGCATGCTAGTGCCGAAAGTTTGATGAATATACATAATAATTAATTACGTATATATTTTATAGCAGACAGGCTAAAGTTACATTGAAAAATAAAGTTTTGATTGTCATATGTATCAACTAGATTCCCAAAGGAACTTGTATAAGATGTATCATAGAACGGGACTGGATAATTAGAAGGAATATAAACACAACCAACTCTACAAACTTATAAACTATCAATTTTTCATTTATGAAACTAATATTAATAATTAATAAATTGTTCTATACATACTTAGATTTCTAATGAGAATTTATTGTGAAGACAAATTATTTATTTGCTGGCCCTTTTGAACAACTACTCATTACACTATTTCTATCTTGCAGTATTGTGTTAAGGTACTTTTTAAGTATTTAAAATTTCAGAGTATTTAATAATAAACGCTTTGAAATACCATAGGAGCTAAGTTGAATGAAGTAAAGTCATTTTTTAAATACTCAAAGTGTTCATAAACAATTTTAAATATTACATTGAATAAACAAAGAACATGATAGAACTAAGTTTAAGTTTGTATTAAATTTGAAAGCATTAATAAAATAAATTTAAAACTCAATTAAAATAAAATAATCATAAATATAGTTACATCATAAACTCATATTCATATATTTTAACAATATGAATTTGACATTAATTTAAAATTATTCTGTAAGGGGATATAATTTTTTTCACTAAAAAATTGGCTCTAGCAACGATTTTTTGACCGTCATAGTGTAATAGTTTATAATTGTATTTATATAATATGAGCCAATAAATGTATGCCGTTGCATAGTACATATACATTGGTACAACCTTTTAATTTGATAATAATAGTTTATAATATTGTATAATAGTTGAAAATCATTATGTTTTAGTAAATAATATAGTATATGCGATGTTTTGGAAAAAATTGGTTCAGCCTATTGGTATTATTAATTAAAAAAATTAAAGTATAAAATATCCTTAGAAATATATTCTGACACAGCGTTTCCTCTCAGAACCGTGTTTCGTATGCAATGATTTATCAGTGTTTCAACAATGAAATTCAACACATGCATTACAGTAACTACTAAATGACGAGGTATGCACAATACCTATACTGTACAGCAGATTAACTTCCCCGGTAATTGTTTTGCATTTAATTCACTTCTTACTCCAAGCGAGTAATTTTAAATTTGATATTCTCAGTAGTTTCCCCAAGTGTAAAGATAAATATTATAGCAACAAGATTTTTTATATAATGCGATTGAGCAGTGCTGGGCTTCGTTTTTTAAATGCGATAATTCATTGTCGTTCCGAGTTCAACATAACAAGACAAATACAACACTTCGAAAACCCTATAGAATGTTCCACCCAAACCCTTTGCCTCGACTATAATATAATCTTTTATCAATTGTATGCAGTTACACTTTTTCAGCATTTTATCAAGACATAGGTAATAATGCAAGCACGGTAGTTATATCATTATATTCTAAGAGTTTTATAAGCCGGACGTATATATTGAAAAGAAAATATCGTAATATTAGCATTAGCGTGGCATAATATAAACAGAATATAATTCAGACTTTGATGTGGGTACAATTTAAGCTTAAATATAATATGCAAATATGCAATTTACCTTCGTATTGTGCACATTATTCAGAATAAAATACAATTTTCTAATTCCGGCAATGTTATTAGGTAGTGTTATGAAACAATTACAATGGGTAAGCACAATGACAATAAGTGAGCGTCACATATTCACATTAACCATTCAATTTTAAGGTCCATTATTAAGAAACTGGATTTACATAAGGATAATACAGGCATCCAGGCAATTCTTAATGGAATAATTTATAGTTTCTAAGAATGATACTAGTATACATTGAAAATTGTGAAAACATAATAATTAATGTTTATTGTCTAAGTAATATTTAACGCATTATCGTTATGGTGCACACTGCACATATCATCACGTATTTGAATAAAAACTAAGTACAGTATTCATCTTCTGGCTTAATTTCGCTTTTGAATTGTCTATTTTTGACGAGTGGAAACTATATTTTTGATTTTAAACGTAGTATAAATATTTTAAATGTGTACTCATATTCGAATAAATTCACAAAAGTGTAATAAAAAATGTTTATTTCAATGATTTTCAAAAAAAAAGTCATAAAATAATATTGTTTTAGTTATTTTAAATTATTATTATTATTTTTTTTTTAATATGGAAAACTCTAAATATATACATATATATCTGTTGACTATAATTTAACCATTAAAACGACTGAACACTTTAAATTCATATAACAGGTAAATCCTTGGCGTCATAAAAAAAAAAAATGCTATAACAATAAATGTATTAATGTGTCATGTTTTATTTGCAATATTTTTCATACATGTTATAAAATAAAACAAAACCACAGTATTATAATACAGAATTTTACAATACTGACTTGAAAAAAGGAACTATTTACTTTGATTTAAAATATTTTCAATTAAGATAAAAAAATATAATTGAAGTATATAAATATAGCTATTATTTTCAGAACCAAACTGTTATGGTATACAAAATTACTGGTTTCATTTTTAATTTTAGAAAAATTCAAAACATTTTCTCAAAAATACTCAAAATATATAAGGACTAACAGAAGTACAAACTACAAAGTACAATTTAAAAAGTGTCACATTCAATTCTATTTATTTCAAAATTCTTTAATTTTCAACTTTTTTAATTTATGTTTTCAATAATAATATTGTAATATGAATATATTTTTATTTGTTTTATATTTAGTTTACTATGGAAATTAAAAATATCTATGTTATCACACACAAATTACTCATAAAATTGAAAAAAAATGTATTAATAGTTGGTTAAAGATAATTAAATTATTGCAATCATAAATTGCTTATTATCTTAAAACATTGAGTATTGTGCTTTTGTTGGATATTCTGTTATATTAAAACCGTATAATGTTGTCATACTTTAAAATAACACCCACGTAAGGTGTTTAGTACTTGTAATTATAATTGCATTTCGTCTATCTTATAATTCATTTAACATGGAGAAATTTCCACTTTTCCGGCCCGGCAATATATATAAAGTCATAAATTGCATTTACCCTTCAAAAGCAACATGTCTTAGTTTATGTCTATCTTCCATATATGTTGACTGTGTGAATTAATTAAATTCGTGCCATTTTCAGGTGCAGTTCAGTGCTAATTAAACCAGGGCGGACAAATGTGATACCATATTTCGTGTTTTATATGCGTGGATTTGAAAACTTGGTAAGTAAAATAAACAATAACTTATACCTAACTAATATTTTAAGGTATCTTTAAAATTACTATGTGATACGTTTTGTGGAAGTTTGCGTGTATTACATTGAATATTTCACTAGAAAGTGTCAAGATCTCGATAAGCCTCGACCAATTTTATCAAAGCACTCTCCCTTGCACGTGTCTTCGATAATGGTTGGTCTGGTGGGCTGTGTGTATCCAGAGACAAAATCTGCCACGAGGTATATTACGCTTTCAAATAAGAAGGATAAACTACTAGGTAGACTGCGAAAATGCTATAACAACATATCTCAAGGCAATATTGTGATTCAAGTTTATAGATTAGTAACTTAACACCTAAGCTATTTGTTGTAAAAATAATCAACAAGATTAAACTTTGGAAACCCTGATAAGTAGATACAATACTAACTTTTGTTATTTATTGTCTATTTCAATAAACTTGTATCATGAAATTATCTTAAATCGATTTAATATTCCATAAACAACTAACAATATCGAATAAAATAAACGATTTTTAATTCATTTACACAGTTGGTTAGGTACCTGTACAATATTTAAAATAATATGCAAATACACAAGGAACATAATTCAAACCAATGAGTGTATAAGTAATTAAAAATGTTTTTATCTTCATATATTTTAACCTAACATTTTATTTCAGTTGAATACAGTGGTTTAACAATGATGTGTAACAAAATTGGATGCTCATAAGACAACGAATTCTTCTTTTATAATTAAAATAAAAATAAATTGTTTATTATAAACGATTGTGAAGCCAATCATTGAATATTGATACTCAACACAATCGTTTAATTACCTACCCAACGGTGAGATACATATTATGAGACGTAGGTACCTTCATACATAGAGCATTTGTTAATTTCTCGGTTCTTAAAAACGCCTGTCAATGAGTAAAAATCTGAAAAATCATTAACATATCAAAATAAGTGAAATACTCAATTAAAAATTAGTATTTACACAAATAAGAAACCAAATTATGTGAACTTCGGAAGGTTAAGTAAAAATACATGCGATACATAGAATAAACTACTTTTTAATTTAATGTTAATTCAAACAAGGATCAACGTCACATTCATTTCGGGAAACGCACAAAAATCACTAACGGATAAACCTTCATCTGATAGACTTACTGGTTTGGTTACGAATGGTTGGTAATACATTCAAAGTGACGGAAATGTCTAAAAGAATTAAAAGTAGATGTCTTAGATTTTTCTCTTATTAAAGGACCTTTTACCTAAAGCATTTCAGCAACTAAATTCTTCGATTTCGTATTGATTTGATTTAATAGAATATGACTATGCATTAATAATTGCCATTTCCATTAATTTTAACAAGTACTTCAACTGTTCTTGATTGGTAATTATTGAAGTTATTTAAATACATATTATTCAAATTTCAAATGCACGAACAAAATCAATTAGACAAATAATTTAGTACTTACTTATATATTTTTATTGGTTTTAACTATTAAATATTTACACTAAGACAGTTGAAAAAAACCTTAACACAAATTTAGTTCATGAAGAACACGTAAAAATAATATAAATTAATAATAAATAATTAATATAATAAATAAAAGTTTTTCACATAGACTACTTCTGATATAAAAAATATCATTTAGTGTGAAAAATACCTACGCTTTTATAAGTAGTTGACATAAAACATTTTAAATTAGTGTAAATTAATTTAATATAATTGATTATCAATAAGCACTATGAATATTAAATTATACAACTACAGCATTAAATATTAAGAACAAGGTTTTTGTGTAGTCCTATAAAGAGGGCTGTTTATTAATGTATAGAAATAGTATGATCAATATTTTGTAATTTCTTGACAACATCCAAAATATTAATCAAACTATGGTCGAAGTATATTTATTAAATACTCGACCTTCTTAAAGTTTTCTGTGTCTCAAAATAAACTTAAATATTATGTTAACATTTCAAATCTTATACTTTTAGAATATTATTTGATCTTGTAACTATAAAGAAAATTGTCTAACATTTCTTGTGAATCGTGTACACTTTTCCTTTTTGATTTCGCATGGAATGCCTATTTTGAAATAATTCTTAAAAACTAGATTTTATATACCTATCGAAAACTCAAAATAATATGCCGTACGCAATAATGAAAAATATATATATTACCATAAAAATATTTGCACACTTTGATATACAAGCATATGTTATTATATATTAAGTGTATTTAACTGTAATCTTTCCAAAGTTTTTAATTCCCGTGTACACATGCAATTTAGTATTCAACAAACAAGATTAATTTTCTTAAAACGCATGTAATTGGATTATAAATGAATTAGTAATCTCACTTTTCTAAAGTTGTTCTTCCCACGTGACATTTTAATTTCATGCTTAAACTTTCAAATTCAATTTCAAGGATAACAAGAAATGTGTTTAATATATTTTTAAACGGGTGAATGAGTGATCCCGCGTATATATAATATTATGTAGGTTTGAAACATGTTGCGACATGTCAAACAAGTTTTCATATGAGTACCTTCCAACAATTTAAGAGTTTTCCAGTTGAATAATGATATTTTTCATTTTGTTCATATGAAATATCAAATCGTTATGTAAAGTAAAAAATATTTCACGAAAAGTATACTAACTTAATAGCATGTTTACATTTAATTTTTTTTTTTTTGGGGGGGGGGGGGTTGAAGTGAGTTTGTAATGTTTTTGATAGCTAGAAAGTTAATTAATATTTTAAATTTATAATTAATTCCAATAATTGTTAATTATTAGTATAAAAACATGGTTTACACGGAATTTATTAGCTTATTATATGAGTTTCATAATATTATATATTTTATAATAGTTTGTTTAACCATTCACCAATCACCTTTATGTATTAAAATGTATACCCCATGAATTTAATATTCAATTGACTGTTAAAAAAAAGTTACAAAGTTATATTACTATTTTACATTAGGTAGCACAAATATAGAATACCAACGCAAAGTTAAGAAAACTGCTTAAACTTTAAACATCTGATGAAAGTGCAAATTCAGGTTACTATAATGTGTAAGTAGAACACGGTATTATACTAGGTAGGTAGTTACAAAGTTTTCCGCAGAATATTATTATATGAGACTTAAAGTCATTATTCTTATACAGTATCCAGAACAATTACTTAATTATACTAATTTTACATATAGTATTACTAAATTACCTAGTAGCTTTCAAATAACTATCAAGTTAAGTTTGAAAAATTATAAGAAAGGAAAATAATATAATACAAGTGCATCATATATTTTTAGTTCTATCATAATAATTGTAATATATTGAAATTGTCCATAAAGTTATGTTATTCCAGAGGTACATAATATTAACATTTCCACATTAAAAAACAACTTATGAATCGTGAATTGCAAATTTTCTTGAATATCTATTATAAATCTGGAATGTTAAATATCAAAAGTATCCGGAAAATACTTTAGTAAGCTATAGTTCTTAAATATAATAAAAATTATCAAAATTAATGATTCACCACAAGTGCCTCAGATGTTAATTTAATTATGCCCTACAATGAGGTGATTGAAACGAGTAGCACATACTTATTAGTCATTCATTTTTCATTGCAGAGGATCAATAAGTGTTCAAAATATTTCAAAATATTTTATTCCCATTGAATGTCGGATATAGTCGAATCGAATAAGAGCATTTCGGTTTTGAGCAGAAAGCCAATTAACCGGTGACCATTCCCAAAGGTGGTAAATCGGTTGTGGGGATTCGGATCAGCGACGGCCGAAGTGGTAGCAGAGGTGGTGGTAACGGCTTGCACAAAATTTGCATCGTATTGTTCCCGTCGCTAATTAAAACCAATGAGGTCGTGTGGTAGTTTCACCAACATTGACTAACGGCGGGGAGGTATATATTTAGATAGCAGCGAATACTACAGTGTTCGAACTTTGCTCGGTTGATTGGTTCCCCTCTGGTTTTCTACCACCCACACAACGAGCAGCCCGTCCCTTAGGGTAAACGTTTTAATTTCAACAACATTTTGTCTCGCACTGAAGTCAATAACACAATATCGTGGACCTCTGTCAGTGGTTAGTGGTTTTTGTGCAACAAAACATCAGTAAATTTAATCCATAGTAATGCATAGTGTCAATTATCCACCGGGGTGGTGGTAGGTGGCAAGGGACAGTTTGCTTTCATCCCACGCCCATCCCTACCACCACAACGGCCAAACAACCTGCGTGACATAATTGATATCGCCTTTTTCATATGAGCGGTAGAGGTATTTTCAGCGGTGACGTTGGCAGGACCAATAATAACACTATAGTCGGAGTACGAAGAACAACTAAAATAAAATGAAAATTTAAAAATTTAAAAAAAGACAGCGGTCGTGGTGGTGGGTTCAAAAGCGGTGAAAATATCTAATACTACTGTGGTAAATGAAATTAAAATCCCTTTTCACGATAGCGGGAATACCCTCGTCCATGAATGTTATGACAACAAACAAAAACGAACTCGTAAAATAATTATTTTGGTTGTTTCTCATATTGTTCTATAAAAAAATCTGAATTTTTTCGTATCACTCTATATTATTTCGTATCCTGTTTCACTACAGTTTTAGTAACATTTGACATACAAACCATTTCACATCCCGGACATTTTAATTATTTACAAAAGGTATCGTTTTGTTACATTTTCTAATTGATCTTTATTTTGCTTCGATGGCATTGTCACTATCAATTTTAATTTTATATGAATCGGCTTAATTACTTCAAAATCAATGTTAGATGACAATTTTCATTAATTTTATAAACAAACAAATAAAAGATTTTATAGGTCATTTAAATTGTATGTACTTACCTAGGTATGTTGTATTGCTACTTAATATACCACTGCATATATGTATATATACATATATTTTTATGTAATTTATTTTATTTATATTTAAACATTATTATTTAGACCTAAATGCATATTATTAAAAAG